CCCGCCCGAGGCTAAGGGTTCGCGCGGATGGTGACTGTCCCAGCGGCAGACCGAGAGCTGCAATCACGTGACCTCATGCGTTGCTTGCCCTGGGCGGTACTATAAGTACGCCGGGTAGTGAGTAGGAGCACCGCTTTGGCTTCTTTGTGAAGCAGAACTGCTGTAGAACGCTAAGACCCAGCCTAACTTTTCAATCGATGCAGCGACATGTCGGAACCGTTGGGCCCAAGCCGACATTTGCTAGAACGCACATAACAGTAAAAATTATCGCACGATACAAGGCGAAAGGTACATGCTCTACATTCGACGCTGTTTGCGGTAGGGACTAGAGCAAATTCGGACATTACTTTATGACAAAAGGACAGCTCAATGGTTTGCTCATCTCCCGCGGCGGCCAGACTGGGATACAGTCACTAACCTACCGCATACTTATGACAGGGGACGGCTCCGACTGTCGAGGATGTTGAAAAGGTGGAACAATCTCACCTGCGTTGTCAGTGTTGTAACGCTGACATCTGACGTATGTCACCGTTTAATTATTCCCTTTGGAGTCGCCAAGTAAGAACACAGTAAGAAGGACGTATTTTTGAAATCCGTCCGGAGGGGGGTTTATTGTGTACAAAACTCGCAGTCGCTGTCTCAGGTGGTTGTTGTCACTGTTTGATCTCCAGCGCGCTCTTTGTCTCTATTCTCAGGGCTCGGCCCGGCCTCGGGAGTGGACTGACGGTGTCCTCGCAGTCCGTGTTGCAAACTCGCTGTCTGAGAGGTAACAGTGGCTCATGAGGGATTGTCTACGCGTTCTCTTGTGGTCTGACTGGCCGCATTGGGATAGGTCACTTGAGCACTTGGGCACGCGCTTGCACGCGCGTGCGTCCGTATCTTCGGTGCAGCCTTTAAGGTACTCACCTGAATGCAGTCAGAGCGGACACAAAGACATTTAGCAGGCACGGCGCCCTAGGAAAGCCTCTAATGTTGTTAGCGTTTGGTCAGGCCAAACTCCTAACAGAGGATAGTTCTTCGCTTGTGCGGGCCCAGGCTTTAAACAACGACCTATCCAACGGATTTCCTGCTAAGGCTCAATTTGGCCGAAGCAATTCGCCACTCGCACAGACAACCGCATATTCTAACGGCAGCGTCAGGCGGCCGGATTGCCGAACAATCCTCACACCCAAACACTGCATTGGTGATAAATGTTCAGCAGGTCATGACCACACGCCGGCCAACAAGTAATTAGCAGACAAGCAGGCAACTACCCCCGATAGGGCGGGACATTAGGTGTCAAAGTTATGCCGTAGCATAGTGACTATACCCTATAAGCACTGCAACTCCCATTGTATGAGTTCCTATTTTCTGATCTTGTCTCTGATGATGGATCCGCGATGGATTTCGAAACGTCGGACGGATAAACCTCTTGTCCTAGCGATCACATCCCCGTATTCCCAATCACTTCCTGGCACTTGCACTTTCGTTTTTACTGACAATACTTCCACACCAGCGTTTCCTTCTACTGGTTTCGTACTTTGATAGGAAAAGTTCTTTGGGAAACGTGAACGAACTGTATTGTAAATTTTCGACGCTGGTTAACCTGGTCCCGGTCGAACGTGAAGGAAATGTGTATAAAACAGTGCGCATTTTTTAAAAATGCCGAAAAATCGATAACGACTTTTCATCCTTGTTTAATAGCAGGTTTTGGTGGTTTGCGCTTTTTCCAGGCTTTTTTTGAGATTGATGCATATTGAATCCAAATCAACGTGCCTATTGATGCATGATTTGTTAGAGTTAATGGGCTCCTATACGGAAAGGAACCTACTAGGCGGGTTTAATACCGTGCAAAATTGTGTCCTGTTTCAAGCAAATACATGGCGACTTCGGATAGGTGGTCAGGCCTCTTAACCGCTAATTGCTGTTCATGTATGCGTGTAGATGCGGACCTTCCAGTTTGTCCACAATAAATTGCATCGCAGTCACCTCACGTCCGACGAAGACCTGGTGTGCCAGCGTCGAAAATTTACAATCCAGTTCATTCACGTTTCCCAAAGAATCTTTTCTATCAAATTATATTTCTTTGGATGCCTATTTTCAAATTTTCGTACTTATTGTGCAATGCTTGATGTCCGATTCTATTATTACCTTCAGCGTGCCTAGCCTGGTCTGTTCGGTTCAGAACAGAAGGATCCACCTGTTTGAAGCCTTATGTTTGACCAAACACGTATATGCGTCTCCTAACACTGAATTTCAGCTCCAGACTGGGTTGACGCAACCAAGATCACTTCCAGCAGCATTGCAGTGACTTGGGACAGTGTGCCTAGGGATATGACAATGACCTACAAAGTCAAGGCTTACCCCGGCAACAATGCCGCCGGTGTCGTGGTAGCAACCTGTTCGGCTGTAAACACTGGTCACCAACCGACCTGTTACTTGACTCAGCTCCAACCCGACACACCCTATATGATCACCGTGGAGGCCTGTACAACACAACATCATTGTAGTCTTCCTTCCGATCTGGTTGTCGGGCGCACGCTACCCAGTGGTAAGTCCACATTCATTTGCAGTTGAAGGTAACTAATAATCGTTTCTTTAAACCTCCGTTCCGTAGTGCTACGTGCACGTAATATGCTCTCACTGCCTAGGATGCTTGTGTGTGCATATGCTTTCGGAAGAATTGAATCTAGCAGTTTGAATGCCCTGATGGGTGAAAATATAATGTTACATAACCGACCGGAGACTCCAGCCCTTCTGGTTTACGTCAACATGCCAGTTCTTTAGCTTAACAATTGAATTCACTTCCGTGGCAGCAAAATTCCACTATGCATGCACAGACCACCTCTATGCTGAGACCCCTCGCTATCGTCTTATCGAGTTGTGTTAAGGCTATTAGAGTTTAAACCTAACAGCTACGATCTTCCAGGCCCGTTTCCTTAGGAGATGGAAAGAGAAGTCTTGGTAAGGCCAGAGTAGTAGGAACAATATATTGTTTCAAGGTAAGGCGTCCTTTGGGAAAATAAGTAAGTTTATTCAGTAACTGTTCGACACTGGATCCCCAGGTCATCGTCAGACTTGAGAGTACTATGCAAAGAACAGTTAGCATTTCTAAGTGCTGATACAGTAATCTGGGGGTGAGGAGTTAACTGGGAGTTACAATTTGCGTCACATCGTGGTGGACATGATTTACAGTCGCAATGGCGTAATGGCTAATTGGCAACTGTAATTTGAGTCATTCCGG